AATAAAAAAATTAAAAATCTGGATTTACTTTTTAATAGACCTTATGTTTACCCTTCTAAGTGCTTAAATGCAAATGGTTTAATTAGCCATACATACTTTGACAACTAGCATGGTGCTAGCTCAAAAAATATGAAGGGTTTTCAAAATGAGGGAAATGTGTATTACACAATATATTTCAAAAATTATTTTGCACCACAATCATCATATATTTAACTTTACTCTCCATGAACTCTTTGAAGTCTTCAGTATGAGTGGATAGGTGACTATGACTTCAGGAGGGAAAAGAAAATGTATATTTACTGGCAGAGGCAGAGCAGTGTTGCATGTCTGTAAAACAAGACTGAGCCAACAGTGGGGAGCCTTTGCAGAAGATGCTTGGTCAGTAAGAAACACACACTATTTGAGGAGAATTTTAAAAGGTTATATTGTTTTTGGTTATCAAGTATTTAGTGCTGAAGATAAAGCTAGCAAATAAAATAAACCCTATGTTGAAGCTGTTTTAATTGCATATATTTCAATGTCAGGAATATCTGAATCAAAAGACTTTATGTTTATGTCATTATTAAGTACATATATATAAACGTTGATTTTAACTTCAAGTAAGTATGTAGACTTTTGCTGTAGAGGATTAACATGTTCTCTGTATCACTCCAGGAGAGTTATTAAAAGTAGTTCATCCTGTTCTATTTTATTATGGTTTGGAACCAAGCCACACCTGTAAATAAACTGCCTGCAAAATGATGCAGTAAAGAGTCAGAACTTTCCCTTCAGTTGCTACTTCACAAGAATATTTTTCTTCACAAATAAAGACGTATTTTGACTCAGGGTTTTTGATCTGGTCCTGCACCATTTATCCCCTGCATCTATCAATACTCTCCATCTGCAGACATTAAGGACACACTCAGGCCTTTTTTATTTATTGATGTGAGCTCATGTATGCATAGCATAACATTGAGATAAACTTTATCTTTTTTTATATACATTAATAATTCACTTGTAGAAGTTGGACAACATTATTTCAAAAGGGAATGTTGACTGCAAGAAAATAATATATGTGTTGGTGTGTTTTTTAAAAAGAATAGTGGGATCTTTAAGTATAAATAAATAAATATAATATTATTATCATTGAAAAACATCACTTTATTATGAGCTACCAGAATTAAATATAAAATTATTTTAAAATACTATTATATTTATCAAAAGACTATAGATAAAAATTTAAATCAGTTATTTTTCTGTTATAACTATTTAACACTTTGAAATTATGGTTATCTTGATTTCAATGAATTCAAAGTATTTTATCAGTATTTTATCTAAGATGTTGCAAATAATCTCTTATATCCCACTGTAACATAATCCATTATCACAATATCACAATATTCTTATAACAAGGAATGCCATGGAGTGACTATGCTCTGATCTTTTAATGAAATACACCCATTAATTTAAATTGTTTTTCACAAAACATAATATGGCTTTTGTTAGAAAAGTTTACTAGAGCTGGCGCTGCGGCTCACTAGGCTAATCCTCCGCCTTGCGGCGCTGGCACACTGGGTTCTAGTCCCGGTCGGGGTGCCAGATTCTGTCCCGATTGCCCTTCTTCCAGGCCAGCTCTCTGCTGTGGCCAGGGAGTGCAGTGGAGGATGGCCCAAGTGCTTGGGCCCTGCACCCCATGGGAGACCAGGATAAGTACCTGCCTCCTGCCATCGGATCAGCGTGGTGCGCCAGCTGCAGCGCACCAGCCGCGGCGGTCATTGGAGGGTGAACCAATGGCAAAGGAAGACCTTTCTCTCTGTCTCTCTCTCTCACTGTCCACTCTGCCTGTCAAAAGAAAAAAAAAAAAGAAAGTACTAGAGTCCATGAGAGCTTATTTTGTAGACAATGTAGTTAGGCTTATTGATGTGATTCACACTTTAAAAGTTAATAAGAACACTTGTGCGTCTTTCTCATGCTAGTCATCCAGTCCTCTCCCTTCAAATGTGGGTCAGAAGAGTTCCTACCCTCTGCAGCCTTCGTGAGGATATGAGATAAAATGTGCATATTAATCAGGTGTAATGAAATACTCTTCTGAGGCATGCTCCAACATGCGTGCCTTAAAAACATTCTGTGAAGTGAAGAAAGCCACACACATAAAGTCACAGTGTATCGTTCCATTTACACAAATGTTCAGAATAAGATATTTGGTAGAGACTGAAAATAGAATGAAGTAGCTTATCTCATATCTCAAATGAAGTACCTATATTTCGTATATATATATATATATATATCATATATTATCATCTATTTATGAGATATTTCTTACACTAAATATTTTCATAATTTCCATAAGGATGAGTGGGACCTCAACTTTTTCAGCAGATGTAGTGTGCATAAATGATCTAACCTTATGGAGTCTTCCAATAATTCCTTCCCATGTGGGTCAGTCTGTGTAAATCCATGTCTCTATCTGTTAGCTTCCGATTTCAAGAAACTCCTTTGTCCTCCAACCTCATTTCAGAGATGAACATACTACTGCAGTAAACATCTCCAACTCTTCCCCAGAACCAGATCTTGAGCAGGGACATTATTGCAGACAAGTTAAGAGTTGACAGGAGACAGTTTCTGAGATCCATAAAACATAAGACTGATAGTGATGCTTCCTCAGTTCGCACCTTTACAGTGCCCTGGATTTCAGTTCTTCCTAACATTCTGGAAATGCTATGTTGTGAATGTCATATGTCATGTCAGGATCATGACAGAGAGACTGTCACAATCACTAGGACATCTGAAGTTTTGTTTCTATATACAACTATAGTGTGTAAAGGATTACAATGGTGGGAAGACTAGAAACTATAGAAATGTCACGATCTTTAGGAGCAAGAAACAAGGTACACAAGGAACAAGATCTACACCATAAGACTGTTATAACAAAGTACATTAAACTGGATAACTTATCAAGAGCAGAATTAATGCTTATCCTGCAAGAGACTGCAATGTCTGAGACCAGGACACCAGCATATTTGGTGTCTGCTGAAAGCCCGTTTCTCATGCATGGTGCCTTCTTCTGTGTCCTCCCGTGTCAGAAGGCAAAAGTGACTCATAAGTTCCTTTGGACTTATTTTATCAGGAATGAATGCTATCCATGAGGTGGAGCCAGTCCTCACTGCCTAATCATCTCCCAACACCAACCAGAGGGAATTCAGCAGCCTAGTGCCACAGTAAGGGGCTGTGGATAAACATCCTAATTTCACACCAGACTCAGTCCACTGCCTTGGACATGGGAGTGGACGTGGGAGATGTTTAAAGTTATCAGTAAGGGTCAGTTTTCCAGAAAATCAATCAGGAGAAAGAATTCTTTAGAGTGAATCAAAGGACAAATGGAAAATATCCAGCACAAATAACATATAAAATACGTTGATACATCCCTTTTCTGCTTAATAATCAGTGTCAATATGTGTTGCTTAAAATCAAAGGATAAGGAGCTGCACCAATCTGAAGCTAAGAGCCAGGAGCCTCTTCTGAGTCTCCCACGTGGGTGCAGGGGGCCCAAGGACTTGGGCCATCTTCTACTGCTTTCCCAGGCCATTAGCAGAGAGCTGGATTGGAAGTGGAGCAGCCGGGTCTCGAACTGGCACCCATATTGGCTGCCGGCGCTTCAGGCCAGAGCGTTAACCCATTGCGCCACAGCACCGGCCCAAAATCAAATAATGCATTTTTACAATATAGTAATTGAATGTCTCTGCTGATCATGTGTTCTTTTCCTATCATCACGCACATTTTCATGATTAGCTGAGCTTCATGTTGATGCTCTTTGGAGACAGCTTCCAGGCATAGCAAAAAGTACCTGGGAGCAGAACAGCATCATGGAGAATTTGTTGTGAGAGAGAAACCATATACAGAAAGCACTGAAAAGCTATTCCAAATTCGAGGTGACAAGATAAACTTGCAAAGCATTCCCTGACATCTTCAGAAATTCCTGGAGTCAAGAATTATTCAATAAGAAACAAAAATTTACAGTGGTCAGGCAGTCATGGCTTTGGACTGAATTAGATGTGTATTAGAAGAAACAACTGTTATGGATAGAAAAATGTTGAATTGTAGGTTATTTTATTTAAAAAATTATCTACCTCTCTATCATCTTTCTATCTATATTATATTAATTTGAGAGTCAGAGAGAGAGACAGGGAACTCTCTCATCCTCTGGTTCTCTCTCCCAAAAGCCCCAAACAGCTGGGGCTGGACCAAGCTGAAGCCTGGAACCTAAAAATGAATTCAAGTCTTAAACATGATTGGCAAGAACCCAGCTACTTGAACTATCAATCACCAATGCCTCCTAGGATGTGTGTTAGTAGCAAGCTGGAATCAGGAACTAGCTGGACTCGAATTCAGGTACTCAAATATAAGATGTGAGTGTTCCAACTCATGTTTCAACTGGTGAGCCAAATACCTATCCCTTTGAATTATTTTTCTTTAATCATAAATAGAATATTAAGAATCAGGCACAAAGCTTTAATTTAAGCTTGTGCTTCACTGTTTTCCTACAAAACACAAATTTTAAGTCTGCCTCTTTTAAAATACTTCCCCCCTCAGGTTGCTTTTTATGTCATTGAGCAAAAAGGATTGGCAATGACAATCGACAGTTTGATCAAATTATGTGTTATTTGCTCGATGAACTCAAGATAAATTTGCACTAAGACTCAATGTATATGGAACTATCACTTCTTTATACGTAGGTTCATTTAATGGGACAATTGTTAATGTTTCTCAAAACTCTACAATTGTTCCACCAATGTCAAGCTCTAATTGCAGCTTCAAGCGTTTCTAATCTATTTAGGCACCAGCCAATGAGGCTTTGCCATCAACTCTGTATTTGTAATAAGAGGTACGTATTATTTTGTTGCATTTATTTTTAGAAATCCAGCTTTTACTCTCTAACTTGAGTTATATAAGTCATAACCTGACAATAATTTTTTTAAAAATATGGTTTTTTCCTGCATTGATTGTCAGTCCAGATACAGAACTTCATTTTCTCAAAGACCACAAGTCTACAGATGGTCAGCGTACATGCAAATAAACAAAGGTTGCAATGATAAGATACTGATTCCCACATTGCTCTCATTTATTTTAGCATTTGCTTTATGGTACAAGTCTAGCATTTATAGTTACTGTAAGGAGAGGAGACAGGATATAAACTCACATCATACAAGATGAGTTTATTCAAGGAGAAAACAAATCAGTTCATAGAGGTGGCTAACTGCCACATGCACACAGACGGAACACATGGCAAAGGACCCAGTCCTCCAGCGGGCAAGGGAGCAGGGCAGTAGTCGGGGCTGAGTTTCTTCATTCAGGTGTTTCAGGTTATTTGAGGGCTTTCAAGCCTGGAGAAGAAAGCTGGGAGTGAGGTGGGGAAGAGTACAGGGTATGGGACTGAACTGGTTTCTTGAAAGAATGCAAGTATTAAGGAGTCCATCCAGGAATCTGATTTACGTTCAGGCAAGGAATTAAGGTGGCTCAGACTTATATACTTGTTTCCTCAGATACCATTTATGTTAACCAGTTTCAATCATCCCACATTGAATACACTTACCAAAATATCACAATTATCCCATGAATGTACACAATGATGATGGGTCAATTAAAATAATTTCAGTGATAGATTTAAGAAAGTAAAATAAAAATATTGAAGAAAGACATTAAAATCCAACACGGGTCCCAGCATGAAGTAATGTCAAGGAAACGGAAATGCTGATTGCACTCTTTGATCACTACACATTTATATTGTATTAAGATGCCACATGGGGCCACACAATACAGCAATTGTTTTGATACAAATTTTAATTGTGATGTGGTTAATATTTTTAACTTCAGTAATCTCCCTTGTTCATTTTAGGTGCATTTATCCATCTTCCTGAACCATAAACCCTCAAATATAGATTCCTTTTATCTCCCCACTGTGACTGCTTGGACCTCGTAACAGGAAACCAAAATCAGAAGTTATGGGAGATGTAACTGGCAAGAAAGTGTTTTAATATCTGTATTTACATATGCAGTTGGTTATAGCTCCCTCTCAGAATGTAAGTCTTAAATATGTAGAACTGGATCCACTGCAAATATTAAGTGCCTGAACATTACTTCCTTCTACCCATCATTTGGTTGGGATTTGTCATAGGACTGAAAAATGAGTTCCTTTTAAACATTAAGCATGCCATGCTAGATAGAAAAATGGAAGTAATAATGCCTCACAGGATTCTTGTGGAGAATGTGTGTGTCCACATATGACAACCCTTTGGCATGGTGCTCAGCGGATAACGGAGCAATAAATCAGTTATTTTCATATACTCTGCTTAAGTAGACATTACCTAAAAAAATAGTAAAAACAAATTAGATGTTGTGTCTCATGCCCTCCAACTGTTGCAATGGGCAAGGATATTCCTTAATCCTTTCTTTAATTGCTAAAGGAACTTGCTGTGGTTAGCAACATGCAGCTGAAAGGTAACTTTACATTCTTGGCCTTCACGTTTGTGTACTGACAGAGCTGTGTAGACTGCTCATCACAAATCATATATTTAAGGTGAAGATCATAGAGAGTTCAGTGGGATTTAAACTCTAATCTGTGCTATCTGCAACCATTTCTAGCACTAGCATTTCCAATATTCCCACACTCACCTTTCCATAAAGATAAAAGTGGAATGCAAATGACTCAATATTCCTTGGCACCAGGATTTTTCCTTCAAGTAAGTGCATTGCATTTTCTGTTTTCCTTCATTTTATTTTACTCAAGATTGTATTAACCATCCAGTAAAATAATTTTACTTGTAGATTTTTATAATATAATTCAGATATTTGTATTTGTGCCTCTTTACTCAAAAGTGGATATTTCTCATGAAATAATATTTTATTTTATTTTGACAGAAGAATCTTGTTTTGAAGAATAATAAGAAAATGGTGCTCTCCAGAATGGTAGGGATTTTATTATCATTATAGAAAAGGAGTCTGAAACCATAGTGGGTGGTGATTTGTATTTTCATTTATACTTAACTGTTTGTTGGAGCTTGCATTATATATACTGTGTAGTCATTATAAATGATTCCATTGTTTTATTGAAGGAGTGTTTATAGAAAATGTGCATCTCAGAGCAACATTGTTGTGCTCAGATAGTTAAGATTAAGTTAAAATAGTATATAAAGGGGCTGGTTCTGTGTCACAGCCAGTTAAAGTCCCAGTCTGAAGCACCGGCATCCCGTATTGACACAGGTTCATGTCCTGGCTACTCCACTTCAGATCCAGCTCCCTGCTAATGCACCTGGGAAGGAAGTGGAGGATGGCCCAAGTACTTGGGCCCCTGCACCCATTTGGGAGACCCAGAGGAAACTACTGGCTCCTGGCTCAGATCTGCTCAGGTCTGGGCCATTGCAGCCATTTGGGGAGTGAACCAGCAGATGGAAGACCTCTCTCTCTCTCTCTCTCTCTCTCTCTCTGTCTTTCTGTAACTCTGCCTTTCAAATAAGTAAAATAAATCTTTAAAAAATAGTATACAAAAATACTGTTCTTGGAGACAATACTAAACTGCTTTATAAATTGTGAGAGTTTTCAGAAAACCTAACTGTAGACATAAACCTTCACAATATAAGAGAGAAGGCTTGTCAACATGTCATTTCCTCCAAGAGAGGGTGTTTAAAAATATGTATTTGTTTTATTTATTTGGAAGGCCTAGAGAGAGAGAGAGAGACAAAGAGAGAGAGAGACAAAGAGAGAGAGAGACAAAGAGAGAGAGAGACAAAGAGAGATCTTCTATCTGCTGGGCTACTCCCCAAATGTCCACCACAACCAGAGCTGGGCCAGGCTGAATCAAGGAACCAGGAACTTCATCATGATCTCCCACTTGGATAGCAGGAGCCCAGAAACATTAACCATCATCTGCTGCCTCCCAGACACATTAGCAGAAAGCAAGATCAGAAGTTCGAAGTATGCAAGACTCAAATCCTCCTTGTAATATAGGATGTGAGTGTCTCAAAAGCAGCTAAACCCACTGTGCCACAATGCCCACCCCAGTGGAGAGATTTTATAGCTTCCAGAGTAGATCGTTTGGCTTTCAAAAAAAGTATTATTGTTCCCACCAAATTACTTCTCCATTTGCTTTTGTGTTTCAAATGTTTCCCAGGTTAGAAAGCTCAGTGAAGGTGTTGTGCCTGAGCAAACGCTGACAAAGGAGCCCCACCCACTGATAAACTTTGGAGTCCTTTATTGCCATTGGCTGAGAGTGGGCTCCTGCCCCAAAACACTCTCAATCGGGAAGCCTAAAGCAACATAGTTGCTAAGATCAGGGGGAAGACAAGGTTACTGGGGTTAAGCTAACCTAAGGCCTAGGGGAAATTAATACCAATTATAATCTTGACAATGCCAATTATAATTTTAACAATTTCAATTGTAATCTTGATATTACTCTAGGTATTGGTCTAAATCACATGTGGGAAATAGACACTTCACAATCTTATCATTAACCCAGGGGCTGCCTGTCTGTTTTTAAGCTTTAGCGGTCATGCTAGGGTGTTTCTCTGCTCTGCCAAGTGTGATGTAGTGAACTGCTCTTGTCTGAGTTTTTTAGATCATAGTTTCAGACCAGAGTCTCACGATGGGGGGCTTTCTCAAGATGGAGTCTCCAGTGCTCTAGAATGGAGTCCCTACTGTCAAGGTGTTACTTCAAAGGTCTACAATGTTTTCTCTATACAGATTTGCAGTCTATAAACAAAATTGAGTGAACTATAGGTGATTCATTTTGTTAAAACACTCACTGAAGCTCACCAAGTCCTAGAATGCAGAATGGACTTTGAAGATGAAGCGAGTGGTCACACAGGAGTGGAAAGCATTCACACATCTCTGTGTTATGGCAAATCCCCTCCTACACAACTCAGCTAGACTGGAGGTTCTAAGTTAGAACTGTCACTGACAAAAAGGACAATTTAAAAATCCTTGAATGCGGCCGGGGCCGAGGCTCACTAGGCTAATCCTCCACCTTGCGGTGCCGGCACACCGAGTTCTAGTCCTGGTCGGGGCGCCGGATTCTGTCCCGGTTGCCCCTCTTCCAGGCCAGCTCTCTGCTGTGGCCAGGGAGTGCAGTGGAGGATGGCCCAGGTGCTTGGGCCCTGCACCCCATGGGAGACCAGGATAAGTACCTGGCTCCTGCCATTGGATCAGCGCGGTGCGCGGGCCACAGTGTGCCGGCCGCGGTGGCCATTGGAGGTTGAACCAATGGCAAAGGAAGACCTTTCTCTGTGTCTCTCTCTCTCACTGTCCACTCTGCCTGTCCAAAAAAAAAAAAAAAAAATCCTGAAATGCCATTGGGGGAATGAAGATTGTGGCTAAAACCTTGGGTATTTAAGCTATGAGGAAGTAATGGATTCAAAAAAAAAAGGGGGAGGGGGTTGAAGTAAAACAAAACAAATAGAAAGGGAAACCATCCTGAATTGCAAAACATGGGAATAAAAATAAGTAAATGTGAAAAATAAAGGGAATAGCCAAAACTAATAATAATAATAATAATACAGATTTTTCTTGTGTAGTGATACATTCAATGAAGTTCTAAAAATGATGTGCCTGATGCTGCCTCAACTATAGGTCGCCTGTTATTTACAGAGATTTCCACCTTTCACATTCAGAAGTGATGAACTAATAGGAGTTAAAAGTTTGCCAGTTCTATACATGCAGCAGATCCAAATTCCCCAGCAAAATTTCAGGAATGTCATTATTCTGTTAAGTCACAAACAGTTTATGTTGTTTATGTTGTTAATATGAAACATCTCCTTATGTCAAAATGCTTCTGTTCAAAACAGGATTAGCTGTTGCTCCAGATGTCACAGCCATGTAGCCCAGTACTCACTGAAATGTCCCCAGCAAAGCTCTTTAGCCCCTGTGCTAGTGTGCATAATGGACAACAACATCCAAAAATCCATTGGAAAAACATGTGGAGTGTTCATCAAGTATTCCAATGAAGTGAGATTATGCCTTGTCATTGTGAATTCAATTATTAATTGATCAATCACTACACTCTCAAATAACTGATGGTTTTGGGTTTTTCTGTGCCTCTGAGGAAATTAAATGCAAATCTATGTCAGTCATCTGTTAACAAAGGTTCCTTTAAGGAATCCACTGGCATACAAATGGGAAGCCCTGAAGCAGTTTTGGTCAGCTGTAACTCACTCTCTTTTATTTCATTTTTTTCTTAATAACCCTTTATTTAAGGTGCCTATTTGATTTCAGTCTGACTCTTCTACCTTAAAAAGGAAATCTGATTCAAAGGTAATGTATCAAAGTCTTAACATTGATACAAATTACAGTCCTGTCTTTTCCTTTCTGCACAGGTTTCTAGTGGATAGAAATTCTGAGCAACAGCCGGAGGACACAGTAAGCCCCAAAGTCTCTGCTATTTGAGACTTCAAGGGCAGAAATGTTTCTCCCCTCAAGGAGTCAGAGTTAGTCTTTGAAACTCCCAAACAAAAAGACATTTTTTTTCCTCTCAGTAACCCTGTGGTAGTGACAATTTAAATCAATATTATGGCAACAAAACCCAAAATGAAAACGCTTTAATTTTTGATACTCAACAGCATCCTGAATGCTGTGTCCCGTCATCAACATGATGTCCCACATTATCAAGAACTCTCTGGTATTTCCATTGTTCTTTTGTTTCATCATTGCCAAAATGAAGAGGAGGGTGGCACAGTGAACCAAGACCTCACTGGTTCATTGAAGTACTCACTGGATTGCCAAGCCAGGTGTCAGATTTTAATACAAAAAAAAAAAAAAAAAGGCATCAAGACTGCATTATTGATGAGGTAGCAGATGACTGAGAAGGACCCGATAATGAGATAACACACATTTGAAATAATGTTAAGCATTCTAGTGCTGCTTGAAAACCGTGTGTTTCTGCACACAATTGAAATCAGACTCTAACATTTCCTCTCTACTTCTCAGTTATTCACAGCACCACTGGTGCCCACCTCTTTCCACATGTGGCTTCATGCTGTGGTGGCTTTGTTGTTGTTGTTGTTTTGCCTAATTTGTCTCAAACTACTGTCAGGACCGGAATCCTGTGATGGAACTCTAGAATTCAGACTCCTCCATGGAGAGGTTGTGTAGCAGAGTGATTGAGAAGGCTGACCTGATGTCAGGAGTGTTTGGGGTTAACTTTCAGCCCTGTCACTTCTTACTTGAGTGAACAAGAGTAAATTATTTAAGCTTTCTGTAACTTAGTTCCCTCATCTCAAAATGGATAAAATGCTGAGAGAGCAAAATGGGTTGTACAAAAAGAATGACTGAAATTACGTTGGGGCAAACTCTTTCCACAACTCTTGGATATTAGGGATATGTGGATATGTGGACTCATACTCCAGAGAACCTTTCCAAGGCTTGGTTTGGTCACTCTTTATCCCTTATCTTAAATTGTTTTCCTCAACTGGTACTTGACCTGACAAATTATTTATTTAATATTTCACATCTTTTCTTCAATAAGACATCTTTTGAAGGAAGGAAATGGTGGTTCACTCATATTCCAAGTACTTAGTACAACACTTAAGCCAAGCACACCAGGAAGGTGTTTGAGTCCTATTAGTTAAAGGAAAGGATGCATGGTTGAATTAATCATTACCTAACAAGGAAAATGAGTGACCAAAGCAGCCATAAGGTCCCCCCAGTGTGGCCAACTCCAACTTTCTCCCTGCCTCAGGTCCCTACCCTCCCTTTCACAGGCTTTGCAGAATCCCCAAATTCCAACCTCAGAAACCCCTCTACTCCCTTTTCTTATTCATTTGACAAAACCTATAATCTCTCTGCCCTTTGAAATGTAAATCTTTTTAAAAAGCCTTTTTCCATTTTATGACTCAGGACTATCTTTTCTCTAGGACCTGGGAGCATTCCCTTTGAAATGTAATAGTGCCCCCAGCTCCCAGTCTCTGTGGGAGGGTAGAACTTAACTCCCCAGGAACCTTGCTCCACATTGGAAAACTTTCTCCTCCTTCCGAGAAGATAAAGTTTGCTTTTCTCTGGAGTGCAGCTAATTAGCAAGCACAAGTAGACTAACAAGCCCTCCACCCAACCCCAGTTCCTAAAAGTTCTCCAGATCTTTTTTTAGTGGAGTTGAATTCAGATGGAGTCCTGATCTCTCTCTCCAACTATAATGTGCTTCAGTAGTCTCAGCCTGTTGAACATGGTCCAGTATAATTCTCCCTTTGACAGGAGAAATTCTAAGGATTCAGGTTATGTGGAGAATTCAGAAAGGGTTCTATGAGAGATAGATCACATCAGAGTTTTGTGGTACTGAGAGAAGGACCACTGATATGTTAGTAGCTTCATTCTCACTTTAAAGATATCCATTGTCTATTGCAGCTCTGGTTCTCAATTTTGTGCTCCTGACTGACAATTCTTTTTATTTGCTTAATCATTGATTTAAAAATGATATTAGCAACAAGTATACTGATGAACTATAGTGTGACATTTCACTTCATGCATACAATGTGTACCAATTAAATCAGGGTAATCAGCATTTCCCTTTCATTGGCATTTCTTTATGACTGGAGTCTTGGAGCTCTTTCTGTTTGCTCACACAACATTTGATAGGTCCATGTGAATCAGTCATCTCACTATGCTGTGTAACACTAGGAACTTATTCCTTTGATCTAACTCTGATTTGGTTTGTGTTTTCCAAACTCCCTCTGTTCTCTCCATTTCTTCTGGCCTCTAGAAACTGCTATTCTGTGTCAGATTGAGATTTGTTTGCTTCCAGATATGAGGGAGAATAGGTGACATGTGCTTTCAATGAGGAATACTGCTCCAGGACTAGTTGGATGTCTCAACAATATTATCAGAACACATTCTTTAATTCCTTTCACTCCACCAACCTCTGCTTACCATGCTTGTTCTCTGAAGTTCCTAGGATGATGGTTACAGCTCTAGACCCTGGATCTACTCAGGTCAAGACCACAGCAGGAGGGCTTGGGTGTCAGTGAGGGTGAGGAAGGAAGGGCTTTCTTCTCACGTGACAGTTTCCTGCCTCCATACTTTTCAGGAAGGATTGTCTTTCTTGGGGGCCTCCAAGACATACACTCATATGTGTCACTGATCAGAAATTGTTCATATGTCCAGCAATAGACAACATACTAGAAAAGGAATGAGGTTTTTTTTTATTTAGCTTCAATTGTGCCAGACACTTTTGATATGGGAAGAATCAGGGAGATAGACAAGGTTCCTGAGTTGGAGCCCACACCCCCAGCCCTCATGTAATCTCACCTGTATCTACCCACCTGTCAATCAGACTATATAACTCTTAGGTAGGAAGTCAGAAATTGAGCCTATGTGTGTATGAGAAAGGCCTGAAGACCAGCAGCTACTGCGGAAGCTCAGAAGCCCAGCATCTTGCACTTCAAAGTCCTGCTCAGACCCTGATAACCTCCAGGTAGTCCCGTCCCTTCCCCCAAGGAAAGCTCTCAGGAGAAGTCTCTCTCCTCAGGACCAAATGGGTTACCTGATAACATGGGGCAATAAAACTTTCTCAGACAGGCCCTAAAAGAAGCCCCCATACTCTATCCTAGGGCCAGCAAATCTGGGGAGAAATTTGCTAATTTTCTCCCACCAAACCCTTCTGCCAGGACTCTCCATCCTTTGTCCTGGAGGAGGGGGGAGGTGGATAAACAGACTCCCTTAAAACCTAGGGAGTCCAAAGGACTGCTCAGCCCTCTGCCTCTCTGCTGAGCCGCACGCCTGGCCTGCCCAGGTGTGTTCTCTCCACTCAACCATGTAACCTGGTTTTCCCCCAATCCGAGAGACTGGGCACTCTCTGTATGTCCCTTCCGTTCTGACGGATGCACTGTCCCCAATAAAGCCTTATCACTCTGCTCTCTGTCTCACTCTTGAATTCTCTCTTGCGTGAAGACAAGAACTCCACGGCCTTCCCTCCGGTAACATAACCACTCCTTTTTGGAAGTGAATAAGAGGCCTGGGGAGTGCAGGGACTCACCCTCTTGCCTGCCCTCTTGATGGTGCTCTTACCTAGGCCCTCTCACTTGCAGCCTTCTGGTGGACCCTGGGAACAACTGATTGGAATTCCCCATTTACCTTTTCTGGCTGACTCTTCCTTAATAAAGCCCTCATGTTCTTTCTAAATAAATTCTCACCCTTAACATGCTGCATGTCTTGTTTGGACCTGTGCTTAGAATTCTTCTTCAAGTAAAAGGTAAGAGCCCGAAATATTGATTTTAGGCTAATTCAGTCTGCAACACTTTGTTACACAAACAAAAGTTCTATAATTTAGGAAAACAGAGAGATGAAGGTCTCAGAGGAAGGCACATCCCACACATCTAGAAATCCTAGCTTACCTCTACAGTTCTGGAGACAGCATCTCAACCAGGTAGCTGGTAACCCAGAGAAGAAATGCTAGACCCAATGTTGAAGGCAGCTCATTTTGTAGCATTATACAGGTAAATCTCTTCCCAATGCCTAAATGAAAAAAAAATTGCTATAGCACCATTACTCTGATATACTCATCATTCCTGGAGTCTTTGAGGTGTCTTTGGCTATTTCTTTCCTCACAACTTATTGCCTTGGTTCATTTTATGCTGTTACAATAGAATATCGTAGACTGGGAAATTTATAATGCATAGTAATTCACTTAGCTCATGGTCTACATGCTGGAAGCTCCAAGATCGAAGGGCTACATCTGATAAAAAGCTCTCTGGCTGCATCATAACATCCAAGAAGGTATTGCATGGATGAGAGAGAATGGAGAAGGAGCTGAACTGTGCTTCATAAAGACCCACACAACCCTTTCAATAACCAACCCACTCCCACTTATTGGCACTAATCCACTCATGATGACATAGCTAATCCACTCATGAAGTAGACTTATTCACTTCTTAAAGGCCCCACTTCTCAATGTTGCTTCATTATGGCTGAATTTCTAAGACATGAGCTTTGGGGGACATATTTGAACTACTGCACTCTCATAGATTACCAAGTCTCATTGGTCTCACTTTAAATATCACTAACATTTTGTGAGATTTACTCATCCATGGATCCATTAAAGGTAATGAACTACAAAACCTAAGTGTCTATACTTTTTCTTGGCATTTCATTTAACCCTAATGTCTATCCAATTTATTATCAATTTTCAAACATGAAATCTCAACACAATACACACTAACAAATACTGCTAATCACAGTGTTTGTGTATGCATTTTTCTTTTAAAACATTTCTTTTCTTTTCTTGTCTTTTCTTTTCTTGTCTTTTCTTTTCTTTTTTGCCAGGCAGAATTAGATAGTGAGAGAGAGAGATGTAGACAGTGAGAGATAGAGACAGAGAGAAAGGTCTTCCTTCCGTTGGTTCACTCCCCAAATGGCTGCTACAGCCGGTGCTGCGCCGATCCGAAGCCAGGAGCCAGGTGCTTCCTCCCAGTCTCCCATGCGGGTGCAGGGACCCAAGCACTTGGGCCATCCTCCGCTGCCCTCCAGGCCACAGCAGAGAGCTGGATTGGAAGAGGAGCAACCGGGACTAGTACCCAGCACCCCAGCTGGGACTAGAATCCAGGGTACTGGCGCTGCAAGTGGAGGATTAGCCAAGTGAGCCACAGTGCCAGCCTCTGTATTTTCATTTTTTTTTTAAAGGCACAAAAAAATACACGGTGAGACAGAGCCAGCCACACCGAGATCCTCCATCTGCTGGTTTACTTCCCAAATGCCCGCAGCAACAGGGGCTGATCCAGACCAAAGCCTGAAATCTGGAACTCAATTTGGGTTTCCTACACGGGTGACAGGGACCGAAAATACTTGAATCATCATCTTCTGCCTCTGGGTTCACATGAGCTGGAAATGGAACTCAAACACTTTAATATGGGTTACGGACATACCAAGCAGTGTCTTAACCAGCTACACCAAACCCCTCCCCAGCGTTTTTATTCTGGTCAGTAGCTTTTCACTCCAGGAGGCTCAACATTGATGCCCATGAAATTTATAAAGGCTCCCAATTCCTTGTCATCCTCTTCTCCTGGGACCTGTAACTGAACCGATGTCCTCCCATGTATTTTTTCATGCCCACCCTTTGGAACCTGTAGGTCTAATGACATCTGGAAATGTTCTCAAGTATCTTTTCTCTCCATGTATCTTTGTTTACACTTTCTCACCATAAATTAATGTTATAATACCTGTTCTATATACTCACAGTCACCTCTAGTCCAACAAATACTTTAATTTCTTTCCATATTAGTCTCTTCTGCCTTTTTTACGCCTAGGTATGCAATTTCATTTCTTCACACATTCAGTTAGATTTTCTCAAATTACCCCTATGTCTCCCTCCCATCACACTACCTCAATCCTGTATTCATTAAGTCAAGCGTCTGCTTTCTCCATGTCATACAAATTCCAAAAAAATGCTGCTGAAGCAAAACCACGTCACTGTGCTAAATGTATCGGCTACCAATCCTTGGTTTCCACTTCATCCTTACTCTCAATCCTCTAAATTTAACAACTGCATCACAGTTGAGACAGAATCATTGGCAGGTCAATTTTCAGACTTTCTATGACACAACACAAGGCTTACCAACATGATGTCTGCTCTTCCTGACTGTTCCTCTGTCTCCATGAGTGACGTGTGTCTAACAAATCTCTACCTGCTTTTAGAATGCAGTATGTCTTAAAAGCATGCAGTGAGGAATAAGACAGAAAGAATTTTGACTCTTGGCTCTTATATCCACATGATTTTAAATAATGATGGTTGTTGAGTGCCTTCGTTTACTATTGTCTTTAATTGCAGATCTATGAGCACTGTTATTGCTGCTGTCAGTGTTCCCCAGGAACACTGACTGCTTCCCCTGGAGAAAACCAACTCATACATTCCAAGTCTCTTCCACTTGCCTAATTCTACCTATATTTTCCAGACTTAATTTGAATATTATAATGCCTTTTCAGTTTAAGAGAAGTTGATTTATTTATTATATAATGACTTTAACACCAATTTCTGAACTATTGATTTAAACTTTTGGCTACAATGACTGGTGTGGTTTTGCTAGAACAACAAAGAGAACCTATTTATGCATTGCTTGACACTACTGCTATTTTACAGTTGGAGCTAGTTTAAAACACTCTCTCCCTTGAGCTCTGATGCATTTTATCTAAGACTTAACATAGCTTATAAACCATTTCCCACTTGGGACAGTTTCAAATAGATATTTATTCAAATAAAATATAAATGAACTAAATCCTTTTTCAGAAATTAGAGTTGAAAGAGCCAACTGGCAAAATCGCTTTCATCATGTCAAATGATATCACGAAGGGAATTCAGTTTCTCTCATAACATTGAGACTTATCTCGGTACTTCAACATGATGGGAAAGTACTTGGAAGAGGAAACTCTCTCTAGATTGCTTTTTAAAGGAATAATGCGTTCTCTTCTCACACTTTAATTTAACCCTAATGTCAATTTATTGTCATTTTTCAAACATGAAATCTCAACACATTACACACTGAAAAATATTGCTAATCCCAGTGTGTGTATATACATATATATATGTATTTTTCTTTTAAAACATTTCTGTCTTTATTTTCATTTTATTTAAAAGGCACAAAAAATACACAGTGAGACAGAGCCAGCCACACAGAGGTCTTCCATCTGCTGGTTCACTTCTCAGATGCCCACAGCAACAGGGGCTGATCCAGGCCAAAGCCTGAAATCTGGAACTCATTTTGGTGTCCCACATGGGTGGTATGGTACACTTTATGGAGCTATACATATAGATTTGATACCATTGGCTTCACAGATAAGGAAGCGATTTTATTTTTTCATTTCTTTTTTTAATCTTAATCCGTTTATATACTAGTATTTAATTTAGACATAATAACATCATAAAGTGTTCTATATCCAGTTAAAACTTTACGAATTGTGGCTTAATTCAACTTTGAAAATCTACTTAATGACTAAAGTGAGTACAACCCCATAGAAGGCATAGAGACAATGGGAATGGCAGTGGGGAATGGGGCGGTGCTGGCCTTTTCTCCCCACTGCACGACGACAGCAAATGATCCAAGACTGAAGATTTCAAGATTTCATTCTTTTTATGGTTGACTAATATTCCATTTTGTCTAAATTTAAGACCGGAGCTTATTAAACTACAAGAAAAAAACAGGGAAATCACTTCAAGACAATGGCATAGCAGTGATGTTTTTACACAAAGCACCAAAAGCTCAGGTAACAAAAGCAAAACTAGATAAATGGAATTATACCATACAAAAAAAAAAAAAAAAAAAAAGCAACTGCATTGCAAAGAAATCAATTAACAGAGTAGGAGTAGGAGAAAATATTTGTAAACTATTAATTAGGGACTCAAAAATCTAAACAGCAGCAAAAATTAAGTTTGAAAATGGGCAAAGAGGGACCAGCACTGTGGTACAATGGATGCCAGCAGCCTATACATGACTGCCTGTTTGAATAGCAGTGGTCCACTTTTGATTCAGCTCCCTGCAAATGAGCCTTGGGAAAGTAGTGGATGGTACCTAGGTCTTTGTGTCCCAGCAACCCACAAGGGAGACCCAGATGCAATTCAAGGCTCATGCCCTACCAGATCTGGCCTGGCCACTGAAGCCAATTTGTCATGTGAACCAATAGATGGAAGAGTCCTTTTTCTCTCTCTCTCTCCTGTCTTTCTCTCTTTCTCTATCTCTCCTTTGCTCTCTCTCTCCTCTCCTCTCTGTGTATGTATTTCTCCTTCTCTCTGTGTCACTTTGTCCTGGATTTTTAAGGTCTTAAATCTGAACCCTGAATTATTGTTTGATGTATTTTTCTGATAGATACACAGTTATCCTAGAATAGATAGGCATCAACTTCTCAAGCCATTTTCTCTTATGGCAGGTTCAACGTGGTTGTTCAGATGATCGGGTAACCACATACCATTCCTCTCTGTTGATGGATACATCTTTAATATCTTGTTTCTAAAAGAGATACACATTTTTACATTTTAATTGGTGAAATATATAGTATTTGCTAGGCAGTCAGCATAAGTATATATTAATTTAAGCCCTATGAACAGGCCGTTATATAAGAACTATCCATTTGTTTTCTGCCTATCCATATGAAATAGGTAGCCATAGACACTAATTACTTCCCTCTGGGGCCACAAATCATTGATTGTGTCCACAGAACTGACGGCTACTATTTTATTTAGTTCTACCTGCGAATTACCTAAGTTGCCCTAAAAGACCTGGTACCCACCTTGTGTGCGATGCTTTGTCATATGATATTTCAAGTATAGATTTTAATTTAAATGTCATTTCATAGAAAACAAGTTGTCAAGTATGGTTCAGTTGTCAGCCGTCTATACTGACCTCAAAAATGTCATGTTTATAATTAATACTCACCAGAGATACATTCAGGAGTAATTGTGGTTCTTTACTCTCTATAAACAGATTACTGTCACACACTGTATTTTTCAGAGGGCTAAGTATTTATTTGAGGATGAAGCTCCACTCTTGTACTTTAAAAAAATAATAGAAATGTTTAAGACACAAGCAATTTGTCATCTTGTCAAATACTATTCTGTTTCATTAATCCAAGTTTAAAACCAAACGAATTTCAGCAGCACATGGTATCATTTGGCAAACACATTACATTATAGCTATTAATGTATGTATCAAAAATAAATAAAAATAGCATGTATCAAAAATAAATAAAAATATGAAAAACGTACCTTCAGTTGTCTACTTATTATGCCTTCACATAATGTACAGATAATATTAATCTCCATTCTAATAAACAAATTAAAAGAGAATTTATATTTTTTAAAATGTATTTTATTTTAATTTGTAGATAAAACAGTATTTACTAAGAAATACCACTATATTTGGAATAGAATACAGAATTTCAGAATGTATAAAAGTAGGAGAAAGAGATACAACACAAAAATGTAAAAAGTAATGCTTGCTTACTATAGGGAGAAATACAGGAAATTATTACAGGTTGGATTTTGGCTTTGGGAATATTTGCATATATATAATGATATATTTGGGGAACTGCATCAGAGTTTATACACTAAATTCATTTGTTTCATATATACCTCATAAAAATTCTGAAGGTAATTTTTTACAATAGCTTTTGTGTGCCTCCGTTTTTACTGTAACGCACATTAGGTCAGGTGTGGAATGCCCCTTTTGTGCCATCTTTCCATGCTTAGAAAGCTTTGGGATTTGGAGTATTTTTTATTTAAGACTTCTCTGTTAAGGATACTAAGCTGGAGGCTTCTCCTGGGTCTTTGGAAGCTCCCTCAGGTTTCTTCCCTGAGTTAGAGCATCAAGAAAGAGTAGTAGTTACTAGGTATGAAGGGAGTTTGATAGGAGAAAGGATTCTGAGGATAGAAAACATAAAATATGAATGTTTTGATCTGTTAACAATGAAGAAATGGAAATAAACATATATATTTTAATTAATATTTTAAATGCTTTAAGTTGGACAACCACAAAGATAAATTTCTTCACACTAGAATCTTCAGTTAAAAGTTTTTCTTTTAAGCATATGAAACAAGCACAAATTTTAATGTTAATGATTTAACTAGCAATATACCATCAGCATAGAATCCTATTTTTTAATCTGGCAAAACGGATAGTTTCTCAGATGTTTAAAACTTAGTTATGCAGCCTCTAGCAACTTGGTAAAAATGAATTCATTTTTCTTGCAGAAAAAAACTACTTTTTTTCTTTCTCCGTAAGACTTAGTGTGAATAACTTGAGCATTGTAAAAGTATTGACCAGATTGAAGATCTGTGTCTAAGGAGACTATGAGTGTCCCATCGTCTGTTCTCGACTCCGGCATGCACCAGCGACAGTTCCTACCATCATGGAGAATACAGCAATCTTTAGTCCTGGTCCGGTAAGAAGTGTGAGGCCAAACAGAATTTAAGGATGGTTCTAGCTAAGTGGGAAGTCTAGTTTACAACTCCCCAAATAGAAGCCTGTTTCCCCAAGATATGAGCAAGATTCATGAGCAAGAATAAAGACAAACTGGATTCACTTAGTTTAGCTGAAATGATTGATTGAATCGCAGATCTCATGCACTCACTTGGCCAACCTTTTCCCATCCATTGTATGACTGAAATTCACACAATCTTTAATAGCAAATCCAACAGATATTAATAAAAGATTTTGTCTAATAACATTACCATAACTATAATTATTTAAAATATTATTTCAGAAACTCAAAATCACATTGCTGTTATATAATAAAATACAATTGATATGCTCAATTGTTCTTTTTGAATGTATAAACCTAACAAAGCAATTGATGATTTTCTAGGGTACTGAAAATTAGAACTACTAAATATTAAAAGATTCAGAAAAAGAGTATCATGGAGGTTTCTCCTCCATTAAAATTTTGCTGGTTCATCACTGTTATTCAGCCTTCCATAGGACTTGGTTACAGACCAGGTTTTGAATTTAACATCCAAAAGTAACTAGTTCTGAACTGCAAACTAAAAGCCTTCTTTCCATACGACTATTAATAAATTAAAATTGATATGAATAACAGAGCAGAATACTAGCAGAAAAAAATGCATGCAAATGAACAAAACAAATGCCTGGTAGACACACATCATCTCCCAAATAAGAATTCAGGTTTCAAAGCATAATCTCCTTCCATTTTATTTATAGTTAGATCTATACAGTAATGTCAAAATTCTCTCTAAAGTAACAGTGTATGATTCTCATCCCAGAGTATATGTCTTCAGACACAATGCTACTACAATAACTGTGTACCTGTTTTGTGATCATTATATTGACATCTGTCTCTTTAGGTAGAGTGCATTTTATGAGGTAAAAGTTAATATGAATTTTCTTCCCAGTAATATTCAGAATATGTATATCATTTAGTAGACTCTTGGTAAACTTATGTTTATGGATGTTGCTTGCATTATACTTCCAAATAAATCATACATTGCTTTATTTTAAATTTTGTGTATTTTCATTTAATTTGAAAGTCACAGAGTCAAAGACATAGACAATGACAGAAAAGGGAAGGATCTTCTGTCTGCTGCTTTTTCCCTCGGATGCCCATGACAGCTGGAGTTGAGCTGGGTTGAACCAGGAGCCAGGAACTACTTCCAGCTCTCCCGTATGGGTGGCAGGGACCTAAGTACTTGAGTTGTTACCTGTTGTCTCCCTGGATGAGCATTAGCAGAAATCTAGAATTGGAAGTCAAGCCAAAAGTGAAATCTAGGCATCTTGATATGGGATGTAAGTGTCCCAAGTGATATTTATAGTTTTCATGATTTTTAAAAATTCAGATAGAAAAGCTATAATTTTTACTACTTTTTCCCAAAAGTGACATCCAGTAATTAAAGTACTAGCATTAAATTTCTTTTAAAAGGCAATTTTTTGGTAAATGAAATGTCTCATATTAGGATTATTATCAGTATTTTAGACAGAATTTTAAATTTTTCTTAATTAAATTCAAAACTATAAATGAGGAGGCTGGCGCTATAGCGTAGTGGGTAAAGTCTGAACCTGCAGTGCCGGCATCCCATATGGGCCCTACTTTGAGTCCCAGGTGATCCACTTCCGATCCAGCTTTCTGCTGTGGCCTGGGAAAGCAGCAGAAGATGGCCCAAGTCCTTGGGCCCCTGTCCCCACGTGGGAGACCTGAAAGAAGCTTCTGGCTCCTGGCTTCGGATGAGCGCAACTCTGGTCGTTGTGGCCATTTGGGAAGTGAACCAGCAGATGGAAGACCTCTCTCTCTGTCTCTACTTCTGCCTCTCCTTCTTTCTGTGTGTAACTCCAACTTTCAAATAAATAAACAAATCTTTGAAAAAAAAAAAAACTATACATGGACAAACTCATACTTTTTGGTTTTGAATTTAAGGATTGTATTGCATGGCTTTATTCAACATGGGTACATCACAAAATTAAGCTAAATTTGAAAAATAGTAACAAAGGAATCTATTCTCTCAAACGTAACATCTTAATAACTGGACAGAATTAATTATACCAATTACCAATAATTAGTTAATTAATTGATTTTTTAATCCAACTGCTTAAGACAAGGAACACCCTAACCATGAACATGAACATTGTATATAGCTGTTAGTGCACATTCCAAGATAGAAAACGACTCTGTATCTATTACCTGACTCACTTGTTCCAGAGCTGCCTTAATGTTATTCACCCCTTATTTGCCCTTTAGTAAACTGTTGGAACTCTTTTAGAAGCTTGACTTCTTGATAATTTGGTAGTACTCCTGTCCTCAACATTTCAAATTAGGGTACGTCACATTTCAGTGAATAGAATTTCGTGGCTGGCGCTGCGGCTCAATAGGCTAATCCTCCATCTGCAGCACTGGCACACAGGGTTCTAGTACCAGTCGGGCGCTGGATTCTGTCCTGGTTGCCCCTCTTTCAGGCCAGCTCTCTGCTGTGGCCCAGGAGTGCAGTGGAGGATGGCCCAAGTACTTGGGCCCTGCACCCCATGGGAGACCAGGAAAAGCACCTGGCTCCTGGCTTTGGATCAGCGTGGTGCGCCAGCCGCAGCACGCCATTGGAGGCGGCCATTGGAGGGTGAACCAACGGCAAAGGAAGACCTTTATCTCTGTCTCTCTCTCTCTCATTGTCCACTCTGCCTGTCAAAAAATTAAAAAAAAAAAAAAGAAAAAAGAATTTTGTAAAAGCATATAGACTGTATTTCAGGATCTATTGGGTAAATCATTCCATTTTTGTCATTTAATTATATGCATAATTATGGAGGAAAAATATATAAAAATCTGGATGTCATCACTGACTCTTTTCTCCCCTTAATTGTGTACAACATTGATCATCAAATCCCATAGATTCTTCTCCTACATACCCCTCAGACTCCCCCTCTTTCCTGTGACTCCACTATACTCATATATTTCACACAACCATCACTCTTCCCACACTAATTAGAGCAGCATTTTACCTGGCACCTTCAATCCACTGGAGAGATTAAAAGAAACTCATTCATTAATTCATTTCAATAACTGTTTTCTCTGAAACACTGTTTAATGTTTCACTGCTTTGTCTCGATTCCTGGGTGGACCAAGCTCTCCACCTGACATTGCCACCCGCTGGAATGAGTTGTACAATGGTGCAGAGAGATTGGGTGGTAGCTGCAGGCATCCTTCCACATTCTTTTAGGCTATGTATTTCATGAAATCTGCATAAATATAGATAAAGTGGATTTGTCAGCCTACATCATCCAAGAAATGATGTGAATATGAAAAGCAGAATTAAATCTAAAACTAGTTGAATTCTGAGAGCAAAGGAAGAGAACAGCTGTTAACTTTACCAGTTCTGAATCCCAACAAATGCAGGTAAAGAAAGAGCAAATAAAAATTATTAATTTGTCAAGTAGGTTTTAAAACTAAAGGCATTTTCATCTTAAATATGAATAAATGATGGACTGGATGCTATAATGTCTTTAGATATTGATCAATCTTACTACCAGAAAAAGAGTTTGTTTATAAATATTTATTGTATTTTGGGTAATAAATGAGTATGAATAAAAATTATAAGAGGAGTATATTTTTATATATTAAATTAAATTCACAATATATAAATTGTAAGCAATTGCTTAAAAATGACAAATATTTTCCAGGAATCTATAATGAAAATTGCTTTGAAATGTGAGTTAGTTATACAGAAAATGTTTTTATGCATTCATTAGAAAAATTACTCCCAAAGCCATGAATTTTTGAAATACATAAATCAAGATAGCAGAGGTTCTATTAGTCAACCACAAAATATGTATAAGGCCTGTTATGCACCATTTGTTGTTAGTCCCAATGTTAAAACAGTCAATTAGGTACAGCATGTTCTTAAAGGAGCTCAGGGTCCCTTGGCCGCACACAAGGCAATAGCTATCATTATCTGGGAAAAATTGCATTAATAAAAAGTGAAATCCCTAGTTTGGGGACACATGCTCTCTTACACTATCAGCTGAGATCTCAGTTGCATGCAAACACATCCTAATAAGAATTGCAAATTGAATTATTTCTTCTATCAAATATTCTCCACTAAGTACCTCTGACAATAAAACTGCAAATGCTTTTCCTGTTTTCTTGGTGTGTGTGTCACCTAAAAAGGATTGTTTTTCACACTTCAGGATTCTTTTCCAACGTGTCTCCCCTGTGTTTTTTTTTTTTGTAGTGATTTCATAATTTCAGGTCATTCATTTAGGTCCTTGCTTCCTGTTGAGTTTATTTTTGTATATATAAAGAAGTAGAGATCTAATTTCATTTTTCTACACATCTATACCCAGTTTTGTCAAGACAATTTCTTGTAAAAACTGACCTTTCTATAATGTATGTTCTTGGCATTTGTCAAAAATCATTTATCTTAACTGATTTGGATTAATTTTGGGGTTTTCTATTCTGTTCCATTGATCTATGTAACATTTTAATGTCAGTCCAATGCTGTTTTAATTACTACAGATTTGTACTATGTTTTTAAATACATCTTGAAGTTAGCAGCATTCACAATAGCCAAGACATCAACTCAGCCATGGTGCTCATCAGCAGATGAATAAAGAAAATGTGGTATTCATACACAACAGAATATTATTCAGTCATAAAAAGAAGTGAACTCAGTCATTTGCAGCAAAATCGATGGAGCTGAGGACATCATGGTAAGTGAAATACACCAGACACAGAAAGACAAAACAAAACAAAAAATTCAACCTGAACACAGAGTAGTAATTAGTGGAGGCTGTCAGGGAATGGAGGAAATTTTCATAAATCAGAGTCAGATATAAGAAATAAGTTCCAGCGTAGTGTGGCAACTGTATTTCATAGTAACCTAGTATGTATCTTATTTATTTATGTATTTATTTATGATTCATTTATTTATTTGAAAGTCAGAATTAGAGAAAGAGAGAGAGAGAATCTTCCATCAGCAGGGTCAGTCCCCAGATGGCTGCAATGGCTGGAACTGGCCAAAGTCAGGAGCCAGGAACTTCTTTCAGGTCTCCTACATAGGTGACAAGGGCCCAAGTACTTGGGACATCTGCTGCTGCTTTTCCCAGGCCAGGGATCTGGATTGGAAGTGGAGCAGCCAGGACATGAGCCAGTGCCCATATGGGATACATGCTTTGCAGGCAGTAGCTTTATCCTCTGTGCCACAGAGCTGACTTCTATTATGTATGTAATGAGTAAATAGATGAAAAGAACTCCAAACCTCCAATAATAAAACAATGCCAAAGAAGGGGAAATGTTGAATACCCTGATTTGATCAGTGTACATTGTGAACATGTAATAAAATAAAGAGCACAAATACAAACAGTTATTTTTAATAATAACATTTTAAAATTTAATGATAAAATTTTTAAATGATTTACTTATTTATGTGAATGCTTATATTAGGGCATGAAATCCTTTTTGGGGGCAAACTTGTTTTTTTTTTTTTTTTTAACTTTTATTTAATGAATATACGTTTCCAAAGTACGAATAATGGATTACTATGGCTTCCCCCCCATACCGTCCCTCCCACCCACAACCCTCCCCTTTCCCACTCCCTCTCCCCTTCCATTCACATCAAGATTCATTTTCGATTCTCTTAATATACAGAAGATCAGCTTAGTATACATTAAGTAAGGATTTCAACAGTTTGCTCCCACACAGAAACATAAAGTGAAAAATAATAGATGATTTTTTTTAATGATGATGAAATCAGATCAGACCTATTGTCATGTTTAATCCCAGTGAGAGTCAAGTTGGGAGTTGATAGTTTCTTTTCTTTTCTTTTTTTTTTTTTTTTTTTACAGAGGATCAGTTTAGTATGCATTAAGTAAAGATTTCAACAGTTTGCACCCCCATAGAAACACAAAGTGAAATATATTGTTTGAGTACTCGTTATAGCATTAAATCTCAATGCACAGCACATTAAGGACAGAGATCCTACATGAGGAGTAAGTGCACAGTGACTCCTGTTGTTGACTTTACCAATTGACACTCCTGTCTATGGCATCAGTAATCTCCCTATGCTCCAGTCATGAGTTTCCAAGGCTATGGAAGCCCCTTGAGTTCTCCGACTCTTATCTTGTTTAGACAAGGTCATAGTCGAAGTGGAGGTTCTCTCCTCCCTTCAGAGAAAGGTACCTCCTTCTTTGAAGACCTGTTCTTTCCACTGAGATCTCACTCACAGAGATCTTTTGCCAGAGTGTCTTGGCTTTCCATGCCTGAAATACTCTCATGGGCTTTTCAGCCAGATCTGAATGCCTTTAGGGCTGATTCTGAGGCCAGAGTGCTATTTAGGGCATCTGCCATTCTATGAGTCTGCTGAGTATCTCACTTCCCATGTTGGATCACTCTCCCCTTTATTTATTCTATCGGTTAGTGTTAGCAGGTACTAGACTTGCTTATGTGCTCCCTTTGACTCTTAGTCCTTTCATTATGATCAATTGCGAACTGAAATTGATCACTTGGACTAGTGAGATGGCATTGGTACATGCCACCTTGATGGGATTAAATTGGAGTCCCCTGGTATGTTTCTAACTCTACCATTTGGGGCAAGTCAGCTTGAGCATGTCCCAAATTATATATCTCTTCTTTGGGGGCAAACTTGTAACACAGCAGTTAGTTTAAGTACTGAATCTGGCTAATATCCTGTGGGGTGGATTAGTTGTAAATGTGCATAAAGTGGGCCTATATGCAACCATTCACAACACAAATTGTTATGGCAACACACTAAACTAAATAAAATGTGAAATAAAATAATCGACAAAGAAAAGTCTGCTTGTTTCCGTTTTAGGTTGTTTATCAAACAAGGCATTGTGCTCCTTTTCCAGCCGTTCTTCAATTTCAAGGAGTTGTAAGGTTACTTAATGGAATTCTCCATTATTGAAGTTTTTGCTATTGCTTCTTCCTTAGTAACCAAGCAACAAGTGTCCTATTTGACTCCATCTGAACACAAATGAATCTAATACAATGAAAGGAAACATATGCTAAAATAGCCAAGATATGATTTTGTAGTATGAGGTTATCTAGTTCTTTAGTGATATATTATCCCCTATTGTAATCAACTCATCAATTATATATCCAAGTAGATAAAAAAGTATGAAAGATGTAAGTCTAATTAATGGTTTTACCTTGTGTCAGACAATGGCCCTGTGGTTTGTACCAACACATTATGTAACAAAATTCGTATAAAGTGATGCCCTCTTGATGTCCATCAAAAATCCTATTATTTTATGAAATCAAAGTGTATTCTTTTTAAAGATATGGAACACATCTACAAGGAGTAAACAATAAAGCGATTATTTGTAGTAAAACTGTAAAGACAATTAAAGCCATCAGGAAATGGAGGAAGTAAGGTAGATGCAGACTACAGTTACATTCCTTATCCTAGTTCTCACAATTTCCATTTTATCTCTGACAGATATTTTCCAATAATCAGTTCTTATACTGCAATAAATGCAGAGGGAGTTTAAAATTTAGTTCTAGAAAGCAAGAGGCAATGGAAGGAAATTTCATGCTGCTTCTATATTGTTTCTTTGAATTGGACACTGTGCATCTGTTATATGTTGGTTACATGGGGAAGACTATTTATATTTTATATTCTTTCTAGTTTATAGTCAAAATATGATGATAATAAAGATCATGTTATTATCTGCTTTGAAAATCATCAATGATGCTTTAGTAGACGCAGCACAAGGGTCTGAAATATTAGCATGGCATTTGGTACTATCCATAATCTGTTCTCTGTGCTTTCAGCCCCATTCATGTGCTGCTTTCCACGCAGCTGCTTCCCTTACCTATAGCCATGACAATTTAACCCATTGCAACGTGTGGACATTTCCTTCCTTGTTATATAAATTTGATCAAGGTAAGATTTTTGCCTCTTCAAGTCTCTCCTCTATTCTGATTGCCCTAATGCCTAGAAGTACCTCAGAGTTTTCTTCTTCTTCTTCTCCTTCTCCTTCTCCTTCTCCTTCTCCTTCTCCTTCTCCTTCTCCCTCTCCCTCTCCCTCTCCCTCTCCCTCTCCCTCTCCCTCTCCCTCTCCCTCTCCCTCTCCCTCTCCCTCTCCCTCTCTCTCTCCTTCTCCTTCTCCCTCTCCTTTTCTTCCTTCTTTTTTGAAAAACACAGAAATATAGTGAGAGGCAGGGAGAGACTATCCATCTGCTGGTTTACTCCACAAATGCCCATGATAGCTGGGAATGG